GAGGGTTAGATAATTGGGTTCCTTCATGCAGATGGTTTATTATCAGTGTCTTCCAGAAGGAGGTTTAAGACAGTTAGTGATGCTGTTTGCCAGTTAAAGATTAGAGACCCCAGAGAATAATTAACAATCCCCGACCCACTCTTTCTGCGAGATTCTTCTGCCTTCCCTCCCTCCCGTTGCCTTTTAATCTATTCATTCTAGCAGGTGTAATAAAGTGATAAGGGAAGGCTCAGGGGGTGTTTGTTTGAGTGCTTCTGGGTGTACAGACCACAAAGGATGGCATTTTTATTTCTTTCATTCGTGGGAACAAAGACTAGGCAAACTTTTGTGCTATCTTGTATTGCCCACACACATGTGCAGTTGTATGTTCACTTGCACACACCACTGTTGCCGCTACTCAGATTTTTGCCCACATGGAGAGACTTCCAACAAGGGGTGGGGAGAACATTTCATACAGCTATTGCATTGAGATTTCTAAACAAAATGGAAATCAAATGTGCATTTGAAAGCTGTTTTGCTTTGAAAAAAGAATCTGAAGATTAAAAAAATCATACACTGATCTGCCTCATTGGCTCCAGGCCCCCAAAGATGAGTGTGAATATCCTACTTATTCTAAGCGACCATCTGAATTGCTCTTTCATTCCCTCCAGATATATTCAGGGAATTAAATTTCAGGGCTGGTATTTGCCAAACCAACAACACTAAAAATGATCTATTACTTCCTAAAACAGACTTTCTAAGTGAAGGCATGCTGAATCTGGAAGTATTAAAGCTTATCAGTACACATTTATGTAAATTGGGAATGAATTTGGATTTAAGTTCACAGTCCTTGAATTTTGAAAATTTCTTAACTCCCTCTCTAGTATTGTACAACTGAAATTATATGGTCAAATATTTGAATCTATAATTACAGAATAGAATAGAATAGAATAGAATAGAATAGAATAGAATAGAATAGAATAGAATAGAATAGAATAGAATAGAATAGATTTTTTTATTGGCCAAGTGTGATTGGACACACAAGGAATTTGTCTTGATGCATATGCTCTCAGTGTACATAAAAGAAAAGATATGTTCATCAAGAATCATAAGGTACAACACTTAATGATAGTCATAGGGTACAAATAAGCAATCAGGAAACAATAGCAATATAAATAGTAAGGATACAAGCAACAAAATTACAGTCATACAGTCATAGGTGGAAGGAGATGGGTGATGGGAACGATGAGAAGATTAATAGTAGTGCAGACTTAGTAACTAGTTTGACAGTGTTGAGGGAATTATTTGTTTAGCAGAGTGATGGCATTCAGGAAAAAACTGTTCTTGTGTCTAGTTGTTCTGGTGTGAAGTGCTTTATAGCGTCGTTTTGAGGGTAGGAGTTGAAACGGTTTATGTCCAGGATGTGAGTGGTCTGTAAATATTTTCACAGCCCTCTTTTTGATTCGTGCAGTATACAGGTCCTCAATGGAAGGCAGGTTGGTAGCAATTGTTTTTTCTGCAGCTCTAATTATCCTCTGAAGTCTGTGTCTATCTTGTTGGGTTGCAGAACCAAACCAGACAATTACAGAGGTGCAGATGACAGACTCAATAATTCCTCTGTAGAACTGTATCAGCAGCTCCTTGGGCAGTTTGAACTTTCTTAGTGTGTAACTTGAAAACTGAGGGACAAAGCTCATTTTGTACTTCCATCTTTTAGTTAAAAATTGAGAAAGAATCTATATTTTAATATACAGGAAAATATGTATCATTTGTTATATGCTAAAAGAAAAAAACTACAGTGATTTAATTGCTTCTTGGTTTGAGTCATGTTTCATGCCTCAATTTTCCAAGGAATTAAGCTTTGGGTTTGTATGATTTATCAATACTACCTCCAGAAATAAGTTTATAAATAGTTTTAAAGGCATCTGATGACCTGAAGGAAGTGAGTTGGAAAATGAAGATAATCCATGCGTCTTAATAAAAATTAGTCTTTCTGATGATATAACATCTAAATTCTTTCCTCCTTTTTAACCACCTCAAATAAAAAAAAAACATCGCACATCAAGAGGCATTTGCAAAAGCACAACAAAGCATGATCTTGTTTATGTTAACAATGAACACAACTCTTACATGAAGATTTGTACACAAGATTGCCTTTTATGTTTCTTCCTGACTGCATCCTGCATTTTAAAGTGATTGCATATTTAAAATCCCTTAGTTTGCTTTTTTATAATGCATTGGCCAGCGGATATATCTATCATCTGTCATGTATATATCTGTCTCTCTGTCTCTCTGTCTCTCTGTCTCTCTGTCTCTCTGTCTGTCTATGTATGTATGTATGTATGTATGTATGTATGTATGTATGTATGTATGCATGTATCTATCTATCTATCTATCTATCTATCTATCTATCTATCTATCTATCATCTATCTCTATTTTTTTATTTTTATCCTGCCTTTATTACTTTATAAGAAACTCAAGTAGCACACATTCCTAATACAATATTCCTTCCTAACACTGAAAATCTTTGAACAATATTTGGGTTGATATCCTGTTTCTAGCTATTAGATTTGCCACAGTCATTGTACAGGTGGATAGGCTGTTTTCTAGATAGTAACAAATAAACCTACCTATAGATAAGTAGCTTTTTTTTTCCAAGAGAAAAAATTCCATTACACAAGCACCACTACCCTGACACAAAGTGCACAGTTTCTTGCAGTGAAGGAAGATATACCCCAACTCCAAATTTTGATTGATCCTGAGGTATGAAAGTAATACTTTGATTACTTGAAGGGCCTAAATTCATAGTTTTCTCTGAGCACTATAAGATATAGCTAAAATATCTTTTCCAACATAAGAGAAGAGGAACAGTGTTATTGACAGAAAGACATGAACAAGCAAATTAAGCTGTAGAAATATGTATTTGATTTTTTAAAAAAACACTCACATTTGAAAAACAAACTAGGCTCTCACTGACTTCTTTGCATACAAATGGTAATTGACATGGTCTGGATTTCAAACTAATGCCTTTATAAACTATTTCTTCTTTTAAGCTATTGTGATTTCATACTCATTGCTGCCCTCTAGGGGGAAGCACATCCAATCTTTTAAACATGCTGAATGCTATATGGTTGCAGAGAAGATAGTCTTATAGCAGTAGCACTTAGACTTATATACCATTTCACAGTGCTTTACAGCCCTCTCTAAGCGGTTTACAGAGTCAGCATATTGTCCTCAACAATCTGGGTCTTCATTTTAGTGACCTTGGAAGGATGTAAGGTGGAGTCAATCTTGAGCTGGTGAGAATCAAATTGCCAAACTGCAGCCAGCAGTCAGCAGAAGTAGCCTGCAGTACTGCATTCTAACCACTGCGCTACCACTGCTCATATGTTCCTTATCCTAGGAATCTCCAACCTTGGCAACTTTAAGACTTGTGGACTTAGGGTTGCCAGGTCTGCTTCCAAAAAATAGCGGACAAGCGGGGGGGGGGGGGGGGCTTAAGTAGTAAAAAAAATTTAAAAATTACAATTAAATTATATATTTTCTTACAAACATTTTAACATGTATTAAAATAATCACTTCAAAACTTTACTTAAAATTCAAAACATCAAATATATTATAATAATATGTAAAATATTAAATTACATTTTACTTTGCTGTCGTGTGTATTTTTTATTTGACTGCACAGCTTTGATCAATTCTTTGTGTTTAAGGAATAATTCTTTAATTTCAGTACAACGTTGAGAAATATTTAAAAATATACAAAGTTTTGAATGAAAAAAATGTCCACTATTTTGTGAAAAAAAATAGTGAACATAATGTGAAAAAAGTGGACTGTCCGCTCAAATAGTGGACACCTGGCAACCCTATGCATCAGAGTGGACTTCAACTCCCAGAGTTCTGGGAGTTGAAGTCCACAAGGCTTAAAGATGCCAAGGTTGGAGACCCCTGCCTTATACAGTCCTTGCTTACTGACTGTCTTGTTTAGAGACCATTTGAAGATACAACGGTGTGTGGGGGGGAAACTTTGTTGCCAATCCTCACATTTATGACCATCATATCCTGAGAGCCCTCCCCTCTTCTTTTGATTAATTTAGCATTGTTTTTATCATCCTTGTCTCACTCTAAATTTTTTAACTTTGTACATGATTCAGAGTCCCTCTCTGGGGGGCGGTGAGATGGGCAGTTCAAAAATGTGAAAAATAAACTTATTAAATAAATTTCTATAGCTGTCTAACTCACACACAATGACTCTCTAATCTTTCAAAATTAAATCCAACCAAATTAGACTTCATATTAGACTCATTTATAAGATATGACAAGACAACTGAGCTCCCAACTCTAAATCATATAGAAATAAGCTACATATTTTTACTTTCTTGGGGAACTACACTGTTTATATCATTATGGGAAGTGTCCATTTACATCCTTTAAGAGCATAATATTGCTGATTGGCAAAGAGATTGTCTTTATCTCATAAACCCTAGGTTTACTAAGAACCTTCAGGGAGGCTGTCTTATCAAAGGCCTTTGAAAGATCCAATTATAGCATAGTCAGGGATTGATAACCTGAATACTGTCCAGATATCATTGAGCTTCAAATTGTATCACTAGCATTAGTACTTAGACTTATATATGACCCCCTAATGCTTTTCAGCACTTTCTGGGCAGTTTATAATGTCAACATATTACTCCCAACAAGATGGACCCTCATTTTACTGAGCTCAGAAGAATGGAAGGATGAGTCAACCTTGAGCCCATCAGGTTCAAACTCCAGGATGTGAGCAGTGTTAGCTTGCAATATTGCATTCTAACCATTTCAACCCATATGACCCATGGCAAGGGACTGTGGAAGTGGTAATCAAAAACATTCTCTAGTTTCAGTCTACCATCGAATAGGCAACCGATAATCATACCCACACATTTGAGATTCTCCAAGAATTCTGAAAAGTTAATTTTGTAGGAGAAGAACCATGTTAGTCTATGGTAGCGGGGGGAAAAAATCAGGAGTCTGGTAGCACCTTTTTTTATTCACAAATTTTATTAGAAAAGTAACAACCAATTATATATGCTCATAGATAATGAGTTTTTCCATTTGTTTAATGCAGGTAAGAAAAGGAAAACTGAAAATTCATGCGTGAAAATTTTATACAGAAATCATTCCTGCCTCATCCAAAAACATATGTTTTTATGGTGACTCTATAAGAATAAAAAAAAAATTGAAGCAATTGGTGGAAGACTACCACCATTCCTTCAGTTTTATTAACAACACTATCCATGTGCTCCTACAGGGGTGTTTGAAAAAAATATAAACAATCTTTTACCATGAAGAAAAATAATTTCCAACCAAGAAATTCCTTGATAACGAACAGGAACTTAACACTGAGTTGCAGAGGTCCTGAAAGGGAGCTGTGGACCATCTGTAGCACTAAGCTTATAAAGATTCAACAAGAAAAGTAAAATAGAATAAAATAGGTTAGTGAGTTCCCTTTGTGGAAGAAAATATATTAAGGAATACTATGTGCCAATTAATTCTACCTGTCAGAAATGTGCAGAACTTAGACAAATAAATCCACTGCAAAAATGTTAATATGCCTCCCCTACATAGTTGGTCTTTGAATAAATTGATTAAAATCATACATAATAAATGATGTGGGCTTATCTTGTAAGGAATCTATATTACAGGGAGGTTTTAAAATCTAAGAATAAATAACAAAATGATGTTACATACATGTGGTAACGTCTGCATGACTTTCGGTGTGACATTCAGTCACGGTGTTACACGGAAAGTCAACATTTACATGATGTTCAGTATGATGTCCAGTACTGGTGTCACATTCAAACTCAACTTTGTTTTCATAGACATGAGGGGCTTCTTCACAGCTGAAATATTAGAAAAAGAATATGTATTATTTATGTATTATATTGGCACTCCTCCTAATTTCAAGGATACCAGGCATAGATCTCCCTCCAATTTCTTCTCCCAATTTTAGAGATCGCTGCATTGATATTCATGGTAGGGTCCTGATCATGATCTCTCCCTTCCTTGAAAGAGCAGTGATTGGGTGGAAGTAAAAGATGGACAGGATTGGTATTTGCAGTCTTGGGAATGGGTGACAAATGCCCTTAATCCATTATCTGGTAAAAGTCATACTTTATTTTTAGTCACTGATATAACCACTTGTTGCTTCTGGTGTAATGATATGTGGGAATGACCTTGGGGGACAGGAGAGAGAGCCAGAGACTGGACTCAGCCCATAGATGGAAGGAGGCAGGGGTGGGCTGCTGGGGTTTCGCAGAGGTTCAGGAGAACCTCTAGCGAAGATTTTGTGCAGTTCGGAGAACCCCCAAATCCCACTCCTGGCTGGCCCCACCCACCCCTCCCCTCCCAGGAGTCCCCATGCAGCCCGTTTTGGATGCAGGTAAGCGCAGAGGCTTGGGCAGGGTGAAAAACAGGCCTACCGGAAGTTCGGGAGGGTCTCCGGAGTGTGGGAAGGCCATTTTTGCCCTCCTGGAGGCTCAAGGAAAGCCACCAGAGCCCAGGAAGGGCAAAAACGCCCCCCCCATCACCATGGTGCTGGAGGTTGGCTAGGCCATACCTACCATGGCCACGCCCACCCAGCAACTGGGAAGAGAACCTCTTGCTAAAATTTTTGAAGCCTACCCCTGGAAGGAGGGCGTGGGAAAGGATTCACAAGGGACTGTCTCTAATTTTCTGGAGCATAAAAGGTAAGGAGAAACACTTTCAGTCTTGCAAGAGTCTGTTTAATGCAATGTTGCAATGAGGATTAGTATTCCTGGTTGTACTTCTTATATGGACTTCCTCACAGGGTTAATACCTGTACATGGTTAACCTAGTAGAATTGTTGCCTTGGAAAAAGACCAACTCCGTGTTCTAAATAACAAAATAACAAAATTGGAAGGGACCTTAGAGATCTTCTAGTCCAATCCCCTGCTCAACCCCTACCTATACCATTTTAGACAAAAGGTTGTCTGAATGGTATTTTGATGTTCCCAAATGTCCCAAGATGGTTAAAATATCCATAAATCAATTTCTTTTTCCTATAGATGTCAGAAGTGAAGCCTTTCAGGATTGCTGGTTATACACATAGTCAAATTAACAGCTAAAAGAAACAATTAAGTAAAAAAATGTGAGAGTTTTCATTTATCGGTCATTACTGATCACATTATTGATCACATTATTGATCACATAAGGGGCATGCATAAGTGCACTAGCGTGCCTACCATCCCTGTCCTACTGTTCCCATTTATTCGTACTCATTTCTTATGTAATTTATGTAATAGATTTATATCTGTTTATACTTATATGTTTATATGTTATGATCATACTTAGACTTGTTTTCTCATACATGCTTGACAAACTAAATAAATAAAATAAAATAAATAAACAAACATTGTCAGACCCTGTTATGATATATATAGTTAACTGGCAGTAAAACAGAGAGAAAATGATAAATGAAGGCTAAGTCGTCACAACCAAATCAGAAAGGAACTTTGTTTTCAGAAGTAGGCTGACTATCTGGCATTCACTTTCTTTAGAATAAGCCCCATTGAACACAATGAGATTTACTTCTGCAGGTATTTCTGGAAAGGTGCTGTCAGTTATACTTTTTAATAGTTTAGAAAACAACCTGAAGTCTGCTGCAGGTACTGAATATGTTCCTTCCATTCCATTAGGAAAGATGGAGTCGTTAGTATTTCTATGCATGAAGGACACTTGTTTATCTCCTTTGGATTTCCTGCAGAAGCAATTAGAAGGAGCATAATGAGACAAAAAGGATGGGAAAAGATTTGGGAGGAAAAAAAATGGAACTTTGATCTTATATATGTTAACAGCAGCAAGACTAGTATACACACGAAAAATGGAAAGACATTTCGATTCCCACCATGGACGAAGGGCTACAGAAGCTGATGGAGTTGGCAGAAATGGCTAAATTGACAGTTTTGATTAAAGAAAAGAATATAAGTTTGCTTTGTTGCCACACGGAGACAGCTTCTGAACTTTGTGCTTGGGGTGCGGAAAAAAATGAAACTTTGATTTTGGGTTTTATCGATTAGATGGATATGGGTTTATAGAAATGGATACTTTATATTATTATGGAAAAGCAAAAAGTTGTGGTTTGATGTTAATGCTTTATTTTACTGCAACAGAGGGACAGCCTGGCAAATCACTTCTGAAAAGTTCATTTATTCAGTCGCTACGACTTAATCACCAAGAATAGCAGCAACAGGAGAATTAGCTCAGATACTGCTTTGGATAGAGCCAATTTTGACAACTTGATGCCCAGAAATGCCATTTCTGGGCATCACACTTTCAGAAGAGTTCAGAGAATCTGAAACCTAAATTAGAGAAGGGCAGTGAGGGCGATAGGGATACTATGAAGAAAAATAGAAGGAACAGAATGTATGGGAAGGGATATGATAGCAAATACTTGAAAGAACGCCATAGAGAAGGTCAAAAACTATTTTTTGTCATTCCAAAGTACAGGATGTGGAATAATGTATTTTAGATGCAGGAAAGCAAATTCAGTCTGAATGGTTTAAAAATGGGCAGTGGATTGGAGTCAACACCCTAAATTGTCTCTTTAGTTCAGAGGTCTTCAAACTTGGCAGCTTTAAGACTTGTGGACTTCAACTCCCAGAATTCTCCAGCCAGCATAGCTGAATTCTGGGAGTTGAAGTCCACAGATCTTAAAGCTGCCAAATTTGAAGACCTCTGCTTTAGTTCCTCAACCTGGATTAAGGGACTTCCTGGCAGGGAAAGAAATGTGGACAGTATTTCCTAAAAGCAGGCCCAAGAAAGTATTTATTTCATGAAGTATATAATATCGTACACACATTGTTTCATGATGGCTTTAACTGTCTGAATCAACAGAGAAATTTTCTGTTATGCAAACTCTTCAGGTATGCTGAAAAGTTTGCTGTTAGGTAGCCCACCATTCTATCTAATAAAAATGGGACACCGTGGGTTAAAATTCAAAGAGCCAACATTTGCTAAGGCAGTGTCTTCAGATCGTCTGTGTTAATTAATTTGTTAATCTGCATATAGATTTTGTACGTGAAGCCATCATGTCTCCACAAGATTTGGTACGCAATTTGTATTTATCTGATTGCTAGAAGAAAGGGCTCAGTTGCATAACCCAATACCGTGAGGACAACATTCGAACTATACCAGATTTAGACTGCAAAATTCTAAACAACTATTATAACTATATATTGAATCTAAGTCTTTACTAGCATGTGATAACAAATCCATTTGGATTTTTGGTATTCAGATCTTACATCCATAGCTAAATCAGGTGTGGCACTGGGAGATCTCCCTTTCTATTAGGAGGAAACGATGAGAAGAGGAGAAAGGAATCCATCCCAGGCCATGGAACCAGTTTACTCTTACTACTCTTAAATAATTGGGAAATTGTTTTTCTAATTTCAATCACACAGGATAAAATATTGAGAAATCTGCTTTTTTTTTTCATTTCCAGCAGAGTAATATAAATACAAGGTTGAGGATGAACCACTTTGAGAAAACTCTAAAGAAGATCTTTGATCTTTTATTCATGTTATAAGAAATTCTCAATCATCAAGGCCATGGTTGTTCCAAAAGTGGTTTTTCCAAAAAGCAACTGGACTTCCTTGATTTTTTCCCTTTGAAAACATTTCATTTCTCATCCAATAAGAAGATGAAGAAGCTTCTTAGATGAGAAGCAAAACATTTTCAAAGGAAAAAAAAAACCCAAGAAAGTCCAGTTGCCTTTTGGAAAAAGCACCATTGGGACCTTGTACCTTGACTTCAGTTTAATGGCCTTCTACAGCCAATTTACTTTAGGAAAATGAGGAGTCCAATCACAGATATAACCAAATGAAATGCCATATGTAACAAGGGAAAGAAAAATCAGCACTTACTTTTCATCCTTGCAACATAATTTGTTGATGATAAAGCAAAACATTGCCAAAACCAAAAACCCTGAAACAGCAATTACACCTTGTAGCCATGGCTCAAGCGGCCTGTTAACTGTGAAGAAAAGGAATTAATTCAAGATTATGGTAACACGTATTTTGTAGTGTGTCTGAGCTTGGTTGTTTGCTTGCAGTTGTTTCATTACCCAACCAGGTAACAACATCAGTGCTAGTGAGTGTGGGGTTTGCTTCCTATTTATATACAGTAGCTTGCCTTGCCAGTAGCTTGTCTGCCATTTTTCTTGTGCCCTTTGGGCAAAGCCCTAGCTAAACCAATGAATAAATGGAAGTCAGGAAAGTAATCTCTTTTCTTGACTTGCCTGTCAAAAACAATGTTTTTATTGTAGATGGCAGGTTGAAACCTATCGAGCAAATTTTTGACAAATCTTTCTGAAGAAAATGATTGGATTGTTTTGCAATATTGTGATTAATTGACCCAGCCCAGTTGTGTTTTGCTGCCAATCTATCTTGGAAAAACACCCAACGTTTGCCGCACCTTGAAAATAAACTAAATCTGTCTTCCCCAATACTGCAATCTCTCAAAATAATTGTCATTTTTGTTGTTGCTAGTCAAAAAGTCGTGTCCGACCCATCATGACCCCATGGACAAAGTTCCTCCAGGCCTTCCTGTCCTCTACCATCCCCCGGTGTCCATTTAAGCTCACGCCTACTGCTTCAGTGACTCCATCCAGCCACCTCATTCTCTGTTGTCCCCTTCTTCTTCTGCCCTCAATGGTTCCCAGCATTAGACTCTTCTCCAGTGAGTCCTTCTTTCTCATTAAGTGGCCAAAGTATTTGAGTTTCATCTTCAGGATTTGGCCTTCTAAAGAGCAGTCAGGGATGATCTCAAAATAATTAGGCAGTTTCAAAAGTGATTATGATAATTTGGAAAGCAGACCTGATTTGCCAAAAGGGACTCTAGTACTCTCAGTCTTAATTTTTGTCTTCTCTAAGACAAAAATGTATGCATCTTTTTTCAAAAAAAAAAAAAAATTCGATGTTCTGTTGGCATCTGTAGCTTTTTCATTATTGCCGAGTGTTGGTGAAATAAGGATATCCATTCACTCCCTGCTCCTTTTGAATTTAAAATCCTTTGTGCCTGGATTTCAATTTTGTATAAAGCCCTAACTAAGATTTTTTAAATCTAAACTAGGGATGTCCAACCCTGGCAACTTTAAGACTTGTGAACTTCAACTCCCAGAATTCCACAGGCAGCCATGGAATTGTGGGAATTGAAGTTCCTAAGTCTTAAAATCCCAAGGTTGGACACCCCTAAACATTCTAGCTGTAGATGTGCTTTTTATAGCTTTTGAATATATTTACTTGGTTAAGCACTCCAATTTTCTAAACTATGTATACTGAGCAATTCACACAGGCTCTCTTCAGAACTACGGTCAAATCTCTGAGGAGCTAAAGCAGAATCAGCTTCCCCTGCGTGCAGTTTTAAGAAAATTGAGAGAATTGTCGGAAGATGAAGAAGAAAAGTGCAAACTAGTAATTCTTTCCTATTATCAGTAGTGTCATTCTGGGTAATCCTCAGTAATCCTGAAACTTTGGAGGAATTCTAAAAGCAAATAAAAGCTCTACCTCAGTTAATACAGAAGCAGATTGTTCTGTCATAGTTAATGCTAGACTTGAATAACCAATGGAAAACAGTCCAAAGTTCCCTCTTTATTTTGGATCTTGCCTTTATTTTTAAAAATAGAATTGTATTTTACTTTTTTTTTTTACATTGTTAAAAATAGGGGATTAGACTTTAGTTCAATTTGGTGAGATCCGATTCAGAAGAGGTAAGACTAGACATGAAAGCCCTGGAACAGCCAGATACTAAAAAGCTCAGAACGTAATGTACCATTAGTAATTAAGCAGATAAATGGATTTTCAGATAAAATCGTTTTTTTTTCTTCCCTTCATGGCTTTGAAAAGTCATCCTTGTGCACAACTGTGAAAGGAAAAAGAGCTCAGAGTCCTTAAATGTAGTCTTCATTTGTAGAATTATAAACTTTAAACAAATTGAAAAGTCATCTATTTTATTCTCCATCAATCATTCTGCATCCAGTCTCAGACAATTCTAGGAGATTGTTCAGTAACATCTAGGTAATGTAAAACAACCAAAGAACAAATAGAGAAAAGATGTACCAAATCAGAGGTATCTGGAGAACAAAAATGTTTGCTTTAATAAACTACACCTGAAAGGAAGCAAGTTCTGCCAACTCTTGATAAAGCTACTCTCATGTCTTCAAGTGTGGCACAAGAATGAAACTTTGCTTGGCATACTGTTCCAATAGTAAAGTTTCATCTACCTGATTGATCGATTGATTGATTGATTGATTGATTGATTGATGTTGAGACTCTAGAAAAAGTGCAGAGAAGAGCAACAAATATGATTACGGGACTAGAAGCTAAAACATATGAAGAACTGTTGCAAGAACTGGGTATGTCTAGTTTAATGAAAAAAAGGACTAAGGGTGACATGATAGCAGCGTTCCAATATCTCAGGGGCTGTCACAAAGAAGAGGGAGTCAAGCTATTCTCCAAAGCACCTGAGGGCAGGACAAGAAACAATGGATGGAAACTAATCAAGGAGAGAAGCAACCTAGAACTAAGGGGAAATTTCCTGACAGTGAGAACAATTAATCAATGGAACAAATCACCTCCAGAAGTTGTGAATGGAAGTTTTAAGAAGAAATTGGACAACCATTTGTCTGAAATGGTATAGGGCCATGATGGCGAACCTATGGCACGCGTGCCACAGGTGGCACGTGGAGTCATGTCGCCTGGCACGCCAGCTCAGCTCTGGTGCGCATGTGTTGGAGTCTCTGGAGGCTGGGGACAGCAAAAAAGTCACTTTCTGTCCAACCAGAAGTTGGGAAACGGGCCATTTCGGCCTCCGAGGGGGTGGGGAAGGCTGTTTTCGCACTCCCCAGATGCATAGAGAGGATCTGCAGCCAGGTGAGAAAGAAAAACGGGCCTACCCGGCCATCGTGTCCTAGGAGCGGGGGGGAGGGGGGTCGCATGCGCGGGGCAGGGTGCATAGAATTATGGGTGTGGGCACACATGCACGCGAACCTCTGCCGCCCCCCCTTTCCTGGCACGCGATGGCAAAACGGTTAGCCATCACTGGTATAGGGTTTCCTGCCTGAACAGGAGGTTGGACTAGAAGACTTCCAGGTATCCTATCCTATCCTATCCTGCAGTTGTTTCTAGCCCTGAGTCACCCTGGGTGAATAGGCAGCAATATAAATTCAACAAAGAATAACAATAATAAGAACAATCTCAATAAAATTTGCCTGTTATATTCCTTTGAGCTAATATACCATACATAAAATACCAGAACACAGATAGTAAAAAAGAAAAGAAAAACTCATATATACTAATGAACATCAAGTTTCATAAGATTCTGAATACAGGGCTATCTAATTATTAAGAGTGCTTAATAATTAGAATTAGTGTATTCACTAATTCAGAAATTTCACTGACCCTACTGAGATTTACTTCCAAATAAACATGAATAGGATTGCAAAACCATTCTGAAACATTCCCATGGGCTCACAAAGCCAGTCTACTTAGTTTTTTCCACAATGCTGAGTTACTTTTTTACATGTGAAACTCTACCATTTTAAATGTATAACACTTTAACTCCTGGTTAAGAGTTACACATTACCATATAGGTTCAAAAAGGAACCCACCAATAATGAGGGTTAAGAAAATATTCTAAGCAATCTGTTGATGATAAACTTAAGAAATGGAATTGTGGAAACTGAACTCCTAGAATTTTGATGCAAATCATATTTATATGAAATTGTACATTTTGCATCAGTTGCCTGATCAGCAGAGGCTTTTTAAAAAACTCAGCTTGGATCGTCAGAGGCATTAAAAACCAGAGGCTTTTTTAAAAAGTCTCTGCCGATCAGGCAACTCAGCTGGGATCGTCAGAGCCTTTTGAAAGCATTTTTTTACAACCTCTTCACCGAAGAGGTTGTAGAAAAAATGGTTTTAAAAGTTAAAAAAAATTGGCCATTACGCCCCCCCCCAAGCCACACCCACAGAACCGGTAGTAACAAATTTTAGATTTCACCACTGCATCATACTATACGTTTTGGGACAAGCTATGATATGCACAGAGCAGTGGTGGGTTTCAAAATTTTTTACTACCGGTTCTGTGGGTGTGGCTTGGTGGGCGTGGCATGGCAGGGGAAGGATACTGTAAAATCTCCATTCCCACCCCACTCCAGGGGAAGGTTATTGCAAAATCCCCATTTCAACCTGATCAGCTGGAACTTGGCAGGCAGATAATAGATGGGGCGGGGCCAGTCAGAATTTTTACTACCAATTCTCCGAACTACTCAAAATTTCCGCTACCGGTTCTCCAGAACTGGTCAGAACCTGCTGAAACCCACCTCTGGCACAGAGCATAAACCAGCTAAGCAATGATCAATAAACAAAATTAAAAGCATGATCACAGTTGACACCACTTTGCAGCTGTCATCTCATTTTCCAGTAAGTCTCACTAAATTTATTGTTTCTTATGAATTAATATGCACAGAACACACTACGACATGATGAATTTGGCTGTAATGTTGTACCTAGTTTCCTGAGATGAAACCCTAATAAATCTAAATGAACCTATTTAGAGTTCATTTGCATATACAATGGCCAGATCAGAGCCCTAAGAACACACATTAGAAAATAAGTCCTATTAATCTTATTTTTGAGTAAATATGCATAAGATCATTTTTTATGAATCACATTGCTCTCTTTTTTCTCCAATAAGTCTAAAATTGGATTTTTCACTTTCAGGGACTAGTAGAAATTTCCATTAATTATCAGCTATTTTTGTGTGTGTGTGTGTTAATGAAGATATTTTGTGTTTAAATCAATGAGAACCCAGCAGTATAATTTTTAAAAAAAATCATTGAAATGCGAATATGTCCTTGTTTATTCACTGAGCTAAGGTGTAATGTGATATTGATATATAGTTTGTAACTCTGGTTTCTGACTTAGTATGCAATGGGAATTCAGATATGGTCTTACATTCACTTTCATGAATGTGAATAACTAACGTTAACTTTAGAAACTTTTCAAAAAGAGAAGTATCAAAATGTCTAATGCTGACAATTTTAGGACCCATAAGCTGCCTGTTATAGCCGTTCAATAAACAAGAGGTTGATGGAATACACCCATTCATGTACAATATGCAGGATTTTATAGAAGACATATCAAACTTTACATTAGTGGTCAAATGCCAAAGAAGACACGACTTCAGTCCACGAAGTGAAATTTTTACTCCACCATTAAAGATACAGGTATCCTTCTTGTTTTGCATCTGGCCATTATATATTTAAAGTATAAAAGAAAATAAAGATCACCTTTGAATCAAGAAGAACTGCAGGTAACTACTGTATGTGGATAAAAACATACAGGTTTCTTGGCAACAGAGCAAAAATGGTTTAGATATTGCTTTCTTCTATTATGTTTTGTAAGTTCCCAGTCTACTCTACAGAACAAGTCAAGAACCATAAAAAATGTCATTAGAACTTCTGGTTTTTCAAGTATCATTAAAAAGACTTATACAAATATTTGGATAGGAAATAGACAGATTGGGGTTTATCTGAGAAATTATTATTTAGAATACTTTCTAGATAACTTTTTAAAAAGATTCTTGTTTGATTAAGCAATCTTGAAATCTCATTCATTTGTGTGAACTTAATAAACACCTTGCACTCCAGAGAACTTTGAAGTGGCATCTAGAGAACTTTGGATTCCTAGACCGCAGTCTACAATACCTACACGAAGGACTTCTGGCAGGGGATTGGCTACACTTTACAAAAATAGGGAAGAACGTTTTTGAAAATCAAGTGGCTCAGCTTATCCAGAGTGCTTTAAACTAAAACTGGAAGGGGAGGGAAACCAAATTTTAAAATCTAATCCAAAGCATAAACCTCATGGCAATCAACCAAGTGGTAAAAAAGAAGAGAAACTTAAATATAAAATAGGAGACATAGGAAGCAAACACAGGACTCAGATGCCTATACACTAACATTCAAAGTGTAAGGAACAAACAGGGTGGATTTGAAGTCCTATTACATGAGGGCAGATATGACATCATTGCCAATACTGAAACTTGGTGAGATGAAATCTATGACTGAAACATACCGCTAGAGTGATTTAAATTGTTCAAAAGAAACAGATCTAATAAAAGAGAAGGCAGTATTGCATTACATATATAAGAAATAATTACACCTCTACAGAAAACAAGGATGAAAATCTTGGAAAATTTGGATTAATATAAAAGGTGTATACTATAAGTGTATACTATAAACCACCCAACCAAACAGAGGAAGTAGTGAACTGATTTGTTAATCAGTTAGCTAAGGTGTGCAGGAAGCTCAGTACAATAATAATGGAGAGTTTTAACTAACATCAACTGGGAGACAAACTCTGCATCAAATGGAAGATCGAACAGGTTCCTAACTACCCTAGCAGACAACTTTCTCACCCAAAAGGTAGAGGAGAGAACTAGAGTGTCAGCTATACTGGACTTAATTCTTACTAATAGAGATGAAATGTGAAGGGGATTGAACTTGCAGGAATTTGAGGGGGAAGTGACCATGTCATACTGGAATTCAACAAAACACAGGCATGAGCAATAGAACAAAGTCAAATCAGTATCTAGGCTTTAAGAGAGCTGATTTCAACAAATTTAGAGAGAGTTTGGGAAGGATTCTGTGGATGGAAATCTTAATGGGGAAAACAAGTCAAGAAGATGACAAGGAGGTGACAGGCAGCAGGAAGAAAATGGAACTGCTTAATTCATTTCTTGCATCCGTCTTTACATAAAAGGGTAGAAAATAGTCCATCCTACCAAAAGCAGCACCATAAAAGACAGATTAAGAATACAAATCAAAACAAGCAAGAAAATGGTAAGATAACACCTATCCACTCTAGACAAATTGAAATCACCAGGACCAGACAGATTACCTCCCAAGATTGTGAAGAACCTGGCAGATGTGATCTCAGAACCATTGAGTCATATCTTTCAAAGATCCTGAATTCCCAGGGAATTATAGAGGACTGAAAAAGATATGGTTCCAAATCCTTTTTTAAAAAAAAGATACTACAGACCACCAATCAGCCTGACATTGATACCTGGGAAGATCCTAGAAAAGATAATGAAGCAACAGATCTGTGAATACGTAGAAACAAGCAAAACTATTAGTAGAAGCCAATGTGGGTTAGTCAAAAACAGATTATGCCTTGTGAAATTTATTGCATTCTTTGATAAAGTAACTAAATTAGTGGACCAGCAAACTGCTGTGGACATAGTATCCTTGGATTTCACTAAGGCATTTAACAAAGTAGTCCACAGCCTACTTTGTAAGACAGAAAAATGTGGGATAGACAACATCAACACCAGATGGATTCATAACTGAACTGGTCAACTGCACTCAGCATGTAGTTCTTCAGTGGAACTATATCTACATGGAGAGAAGCATGGAGGGTACCCCAGGGTTCTGTCTTAGGTCCAGAAGTCTTCAACATCTTCATTTACTATTTAGATGAGGGAATAGAAGGGAAACTTATCAAATTTGCAGACAACACCAAGCTGGGAAGAATAGCCAACACTTTAAAAAATAGCCTCAAAATACAAAAAGATCTTTACAGACTTGAATGCTGGACCCTATTCAACAAAGTCCAGTTCAGTGGTGAGAAAAGTAAGGTTTTACACTTAGAGAAGAAAAACCAAATGCACAGGTGTGGAATAGGTGGTATGTGGCTCAACAACAGTAACGGTGAGACAATTCTAGGAGTTCTAATGGACATCCACTTGAGTATGAACCAGCAATGTGCTGCAGCTGCCAAAAAAGCCAATGCAGTCCTAGACTGCATCAACAGAAGAATAGTATCAAGATCAAGTAAAGTATTAGTACTGCTATATATTGCTTTGGTAAGACTACATTTGTGTCCAGTTCTGGTCACCATGAGACAACAAAAGATTTTGAGACAGCAAAAGATGTTTTCTTTCCTTCCTTCCTTTCTCCCCCCTTTCCTTCCTTTTCCTTCCTCCCTCCCTCCATTCCTTCCTTCCTTCTTTCCATCCTTCCCCCTCTTTTTTCCTTTCCCTTTTTTATTTTTTTGCTGCATGTCATATTGAAAAGAAGAAATCCCCTTTGCTTTTTTCAATAAGTGGAACTAACAGGGCAACATTAGTGGGAAGAAGAGTAATGGCCACTTTCCACCTGGTATAATCTCAGTCCTGGCTGCAAAGTTTTCTACTACTAAGACCTATCTATCTTGTTCTGTCCGGATAGAGATTGTTAAAGAGTTATGAAACTAAAATCTGGGAAATCTTGTCATTTTTATTGCATGTAATATTCATGTAAATTTTACTGCTAAATTACATCACCTAGTAGGATGAGAAATCAGTGTCTGAACTCATCCTTCTTTAAGCAATTCCTTTTAGTTACAGGATTTCTTTCACCAGAAGCCTCGGTGTCATTTGGAAATCCTGTCATTATTGCATGCAAATCAATCATTTTCAGATAGTCATCACATAGGATTGCTCTGGACTTTCCCAGCTTATGACATTTTTAGCTTATGCCCACTCTTCATTTACATATGTGAGTTCTTCTTTGGCTCAGAGTTGACTCAGGGCCAGGAAATAGGTTTGTTTAGCTTCAACAAGTCATCTCACATGTACTTAACCGATTCCCTGAAGCATATCTTTATATTTTCTGTCTATTGTAAGATTATTTCCTTTTATATTATGGAAACCTTTATTATTCCAAGTTGCAAGACAGATGCACCTAAACTCTGCCTACCCAGAAGTTATGGCTGCTATATATTGAATGTCTACAGAAATTATTTCAAAATTTGTATCTCTACGTACAAGTTAGCATCTGTCAATGTTATACATCCACGTATTTTTTAGGATCCGTTTCCTCTTTTGTTTTTTCAAAACATGAAAAGCAATTCTAGTAATCTTGGATTTAAAAGCCAGATAAAACATATCAACAATGGAGAAAGAAATAAAGCAGGCATTATAATGTGCTGTAATTTGTTTACTCAAGCTCAAATAACCCTTTCAAGCAGTATACGAATTCCTGGTAATATTAACTCCACAAAGTGCTAATTTCTTACAGCTAAAAACAGAAAGGCAACAGACAAACCAAGAGGGAACTGAGGTGAAGAGAAGAAACTGTGTGAAGAAAATGAGCATGTAAAAGAAACCTATAGAAGGAAACATCAGCTGCCATACGCAAGCAACCTATCCAACTCAAAGCAAAAATCTAAAATGGAATATATTACCTTCTTGGCAGTTCACAGGATCCCAAGCAGCAAAAAGGCAAAAGGTAACAAACAGAAAAGTTTTCATGCTGGTGGCATACAGACTCCACTTGCCAGATCAATAACTTACATTCGTTGGTAGTGACAGAAGTAAAGTTACTCCTTCCCTGAAAAAGGGAAGAAAGCCACCTTGGGCAATCAGGTGATTGAAGGTGTTTCTATGCAGGCCACGCCTAGATTAGGCTGCTTAATTATCACCATCATTTGGAGGTTGTCCCTCACAAACATTCCAGAACACTTTAGCTACCTAAGGAGAAAACAGAGTGATTTTTACCACTCCTCCTTGCTTCCTGCACAACTGAGAGATTTGTGGGTTGAGTTTTTGGCAGCTCATTCATGGCTTGGAGAGAGTCCAGAGGGGAAAAAAAGGCGGAAGTATGTTTAAATATTTGGCAAAGAAGGGCTGAGAAACCAAAATTCCATGCTGTTACAATGGCTTTGATATATAGGACAGCTCAGAGAACCAATGAAAATAAATCTTTAAAGAGGAATAAGAATTATCTGCCACAAACAAGAACTTCAGCAACTGTCCAAGATATTTTTTGATTTATCACTAAAGCTAGAGAGCGGAATACACAGACAGGCATTCAACTTTTTTCATCTGTTTCGAGGAAGGAAAATGGATAAGAATTTTCTTTCAGTTTTGGGAAATAGATGCAGGACACCATTTTGTTCAGAGAACAAGAAAGGGATCTGCCTAAGAGAAAGTTTGTTCAATGTGTCTTAATTATGTTGGCATTGGTGGATGTGGCATTAAATACCAATGATATAAATTGGGACGGTACTGTAAAAAATTCAGAAGAATGGACATAAACATGCATTGAAACATACAATCCTGCCCCCATACACAGACCTCTAACATTACTCAAGCATGGATTGTTAAGGTTTTTTTTAAAAAAAATATTAGCAAAGAGAAACAAATGAACACTATTATACCTTTCCAGAATGTTTGTTCATTCAAATAATTGGCATACATGTCATCTCATTTTATGTCCATAAAACAATGTGGAAAAATTAGACTGAACTCCATGGTTGAATAGAAGTTTTTTGTCATTCAGACCATTGAAAGATATCCTCTAATAATACAATTAAGTTTTTGGTCACTCAATCTCAAAAAATTGGGACCATTAACTTGGTAGTTAGCCCTCTAGAATCAATTTTCTTTAAGGCAGATGTCTCCAAAATGGACTATAAATACCATTCATTCTAGTCAGCGTTCCTGCTGTTGGGCAGGAAGATAAAAGAACCAAGGTTTACCATGATTGGAGAATGTGAGATTGGGAAGACAGCTGTAACAACAGAAGAAAATTTAGTTTTTCCTCCAACTAATGGGTCAATCAGGCAAATGGAGCTATGCATGGCCAGTTCTGAGTTGTATTATTCGACGTGACAGAATTATGCTTTAGTTTATGTTACCTGCAACAAGCAAGGCCTGGTTTGATACAGATGAACTTATCCGTTCCACTAGGAATTCTGGAAGTTGAAGTCCACACATCTTAAAAGTTGCCAGGTTTGAGAAACACTGATAAATAGACAAGGTAGCATACTTTCAGCTGAAGTGTGCCTATCTGATGTTGAAATAAAAAGGATAATTACAATATTATATAGCAGGAAAACTTCATTTTGAAGGGGATCATGTACATTTCAAAAAGAAATGAAGGGAGGGAGGGAGGGAGGAGACAGCTTCTTGATCAGCATTTACAGATATTTATTTTGATTGGATTTCAACAATCTGAATATTGCCAATAAAAACTAAATTTCCTAAATATATAAATATGATTTAAACCCAATGAAGGAAATCAGTGTGCTTAAAGTTGGCATTAGTTATGGCTGAAATTCTAAACACACTTAACTGAAATATAATTGACTTTTAATTTGATATTTAGAATTCCATTCTGTATCCAACACCATAAATTAATCATGACACATTTCAGCAACATTACTTTTAGTGGGGCTTAATCATCTTTAATTTACCTGGACTAAACAGCCTATTCATGTACTTACACTCAAATTTAAATTTAAAACTGCTGTAGAATAGAAAGACCATCACACTTTAAACCAGTTAAATTATAACTGAGATTTGTGAAATATTTGTTTAAAGGCCTTTCTGCTTGAAATTAACTGTTTTATGCTGATAGCAAAACCACACACATTTGGTAGATCCATAGTCATATATCTCTCTCCCATCCTCAAACACTCACACAGATACACACAGCATTAAAGCAGTTACAATAAAGTTCAGTTTTGAGTGGGTAATACAATATTAATCTATTACCCTTCCTTGTCTGCATTTAGATTCCCACTTACCTCTATTTTAATGACAACTTTGTAAGGTAAGAAACAGGCCTCATATTAAAAAGGGAATTACCTACTTCAGCACTACATCTTTTCCAAGTTTCATCCCAATCTCAGAACTCTTTGACTTTATACCTATAAAGTGTTTAGTTTAGTTTACTTTATTGTCATTGCACCTCGTACAACGAAATTAAATGCCATCTTCAGTGTACATCATACATAAGAAAACTATAAACTATGAGCCTTTGTGGTGCAGCGGACTAAAGTGCTGTTAAGTAGCACTTATCTGCCAGCTGCCTGCAATTACTGCGAGTTCAAATCTCACCAGGCTCAAAGTTGACTCAGCTTTCCATCCTTCTGAGGTAGATAAAATGAGGACCCGGATTGTGGGGGCAATAAGCTGACTTTGTATAAAAAAGAACACCACTTGGGGGGGCTGAAAGCCCTACTAAGCAGGTATATACAAAAGTATGAAGGCTATTGCTTAACACATTGTAAGCCGCCCTGAGTCTCCGGAGAAGGGCGGCATATAAATCGAACCAATAAATAAATAAATAAACAAATAAATAAATAAATAAATAAATAAATAAATAAATAAATAAATAAATATAAAACAAAAACACACATCCTTCACATTCTATACAATTGAATTGAAAACCCCTCTTACTGCATTAATATTTCACTATACACTATAAAGTGATACAGGTAGTCCTGGACTTACAACCACAATTGAGCCCAAAATTTCTGTTGTTAAGTGAGACATTTGTTAAGTGAGTTTTGTCCCATTTTACGTCTTTGCTTGCCTCAGTTGTTAAGTGAATCACTGCAGTTGATAAATTAGTAACACGGTTATTAAGTAAATCTGGCTTCCCTATTGACTTCGTTTGTCAGAAGGTAACAAAATATGATCTCATGACCCTGGGACACAGCAAAGATCATATGTATGAACCAATTGCCAAGCATCTGAATTTTGATCACATTGAGGCAGGATGGAAAATATATCATAAAACTTTAATAAACATATTATACGGCTTCAAAAAGTATTAAGAGATTTTGCAGAAGTTATGTGTTGCAAGCTTTAAACAAGAATATAAGGAACTTGCTAAATGTCAGGATGAGCTTAATGACCTAGGTACTAGTTAATTCCTGTAACAGAAAATATTACAAGAAGTGACTACCAAATGTAGCAGATGGTGTAAGAAAATATCCTTATATGGCAATATATATTAAGATAACCAATAATGTAAACTTCTCCTTTTTATGTTTTGCTGTGTTAAAGCCAGATAAGCGTAACACCTCAGGCGAGGTTAGAAACCTGTGTTCTCCAACTCTTCGTGGTCTTGTCTTCTGAAATCGTTAACAAGATTTTCTGCAACAACATGACCATGCAAAAATCGCAACTGTGAAAAACAGTCGTAAGTCATTTTTTTTCATGGCCATTGTAACTTTGAACAGTCGCTAAACGAACTGTTGTAAGTTGAGACCCACCTGTACTTCAGTTTTAGAAATGTGATTCCCTATAAATAAACATTTGTATAATAAGATCCTCACTACTCTGTTGTGAACCAGAGTAGGATGTCAATGGCTAATCCTACTGAAACCTCTCTGAAGCAGCTTGAGAATTCAGGAATTCATACGTTTGCTTTCAAAATCTTTCAGGCTCAGACAACTCAATAAGAATCAAATTATAGTTGCCCCTAAAGGTAGCCTGTGGTTAAACTGTTTTCTCTGTGAGATACGCTTTAGCCATTTCTTGACAAATCTACAAACGGCAAGGGTGAGCAGAAATGCCACTAAGGGTGGAGGGGCCTTCCAAGCATATAGTTGCAATTAGAAGGAGATCACCCATTCCATCTGAGGTTACCCTAGATAGTGGAACAAGGGCAGAAAATGCTCCCGTGGCTAGCTCCTGTGACAGATTATCACTTTCATGTGACTTCCCAGGCTATCAGCCTTGCAACTTATCAGCAAATGCAGCTTGCACTCAGAAATATGCGCCCATCTTGCCGTCAATTTGAAGCGGGGTGAAGATTAGGGACAATGAAATACTCCATTATTCATTCTGTTTGATGTCCACTGGGTACCAGAGGTGGCCACCTGCAATTAGCCTTTTCCACCCTCCAAATTCCAAATTGGGGATGTCTTTCAGATAAATCGTCTGGGCACACATACTCACTCAAATGAATGAATATGACTTGCTATGCAGTGATTCTAGCATCTCTGTGACTGACTGACTGGTTGATTATGTGCCATCAAGTCAGTATCAACTCTTAGCAAACACATAGATTCCCCACCCCCCACCCCCCAAAAAAAAATCTCTATAGCATGAGGAATATATTTGTCATAACTTCTAGCAGCCAAATGAAAAAACTAACATTTCTATAGAGAACTGCAGACTGGTGCTTTGCTCCAAGCACCTTACTTCTATGACAAGAGTTAACCGAGTAATTTATTTATTCTTATAAAATGTGACTTTAAAATGTGACTTGAATAAGTATCATGATTTTACTGCTTCTGTATTTATTTGTTATTTATTTATTTATTTATTTCATTGTTTAAGCATATGTGCTGCAATTCATTCTTGTAGGCTATATTGCTATCCATGGAATTACCTGTTATAGTCCAGAATAATTTTCTTATGCTGCATATTAAAGTTCTCTGTTGATTGCAACCTATTGCAGAGAGCGCCATGGTGGTGCAGTGGTTAGAATGCAGTATTGCAGGTTAATTCTGCTGACTGCCAGCAGTTCGATCCTGTCTGACTCAGCATTCCATCCTTCCGAGGTTGGTAAAATGAGGACGCAGGTCGTTGTGCACAATATGTTGACTATGTAAACTGCTTATAGAAGGCTGTAAAGCACTATGAAGCGGTATATAAATCTAAGAACTATTGCTATTG